GCGTAGGTCGCTGCCCGCGATGGGTTCCACCGACTGGCAGTTGGACGCGCTTACATCAGGGGCGTCCTCGATGGCGGGCGAAGGGCGGCATCTGGATGGCGCAGGGCGCGGCGGGGGAGCACTTGGAGCGGCCGAGCACGTGGTAATCCGTTTCTGGCACGACCCGATGTTGCACTCGAAGGTGGGGTTTGTCTCGTCGTCGGTGTCCGCCCCGTCGCGCGTTGTCGCCGAGAGGATGGATGAGGTGCTCGCGCTGGCCTTGGGGGGAGCCCACTGGTCCCTCTTGACAACTCGGGGGGCCTCCTTGTGTTTGCTAATCTCGGCGTAGGCGTCGTTGAGCGAAGACGCACGGTGGGCGCCCGTCTGGAGCCCAGCAGCAAGTAGGCCATAGTCCCAGCGGATGTTGTTGTTCGTGATGCTGGCGCCGCTGACAGGCACCTTGATCTGCATAATCACGGGGACGCGGTCGGCAACATGTAGTAGGCTACTTAGCTTGGTGTGGATCTTCCAAGTCAGCTTAACCTGCTTCACGATTTCCATGAAGTTGTCGTGGCCGATGACGTAGTTGATGCTTCATCTGGCTTTGTTGTGCCCGTAGTAGGCATTGCCGACGTCGATGTGTACGTTGATGGCTGTCAGCTGGTGCGTCAGGAACTTGTCGTGAATCAAGCGTCCGAGCTCGGTCTCGTCGCTGGGTTGGTAGCTGCCGATTGCGTTGTCGGTGCGGCGCTGTCGTGATCGTCGCCCTGGCCCTTGGTTGAGGTCCGTGAACAGGATGGGCATGACGCGAATAGGGATGTCGGTATGTGCCTGCGGTACCCAGCTCCATGGTCGGCGGCATCCTGCTTTCCAGCGTTGGTAATGACCTGCTCCGTTCGGCCGCGGTGGGGAATGCGCAGCAGTGAGTCGAGAGCGGAGCTGGCCTCGATGAAGCTCGACGGCGCCCGCGCCCCGTAGGTCAGATTGTGGGAGGTGCCGTACCTTGTCGATATCTAGATTGCGGCTTTGGCGCTTGGATACTGCGATGCTGCGACTTCCTGAGCTGCTCGCGTGCGCCCCGCGACCCCATCCGAAATGGACCCATGTATGATAGCGGCGGTCCTCGAAATGATGCGGGGCGTCGGTAGTGCACTGGCGGATCTTCATGCCTGCGTACATCATAGTCTGATTTGCACGGCATGTGTCGGAGATGTGGTCGAGATGCCCTGGGACATCCAGTAGTCCTTCGCGAGCTGGGTGTGGATGTAGTGGCCCAGGTGGCAAGTCACGTTCGGCGTGCAATTGTTCCACTGGTAGTAATTCAGGAGCCGCGTGGTGTGATCCTGCATGTGCTGGCCCTCTGCGTTCTGCCTCGACGTCCTCGGTCTCCGCTCGGCGCAGGTGGTTCCGAATGGCACCCTCCATGGAGCCGCCCACGTCACACTTGTACAGTCCTTCCAAGTTCGCCAGCGCGAAGGGAGGCGCTGGCGACCCTATCTCCTGCAGGCGTTTCTTGTCCTCTGGGGTGTCGCTCTTCCTGAGGGGGGGGGTCCAGGGTGTACTTGTAGCCTTCGATATCCTGCGTGATGGCTATGATCCCTGGTTGCTCTTTCCTCATCGCGTAGGCGTCCGTATTGCTGCTGCCATTCAGCCTGGTCTTGTGCGTCATCTGAAGCAGCATGTGGCAAGTCACGTTCAGCGTGCAATCGTTCCACTGGTGGCGATTCAAGGGCCGCGTGGTGTAGTTCTGCATGTGTTGGCCCTCTGTGTTCGTGAGGATGTTAAAATTGAAGCTCAGCGTCCAGTAGTTCGGGGTCAGCGTGTCGTAGTCCTGCCTGTGTTGGCCCTCTGTGTTCGTGAGGATGTTGAACTTGAAGCTCAGCGTCCAGTCCTGCACGTACTGGCCCTCTGTGTTCGTGAGGATGTTGAATTCGAAGTTCAGCGTCCATTCGTTCAGGGTCAGCGTGTTGTAATCCTGCATGTGCTGGCCCTCTATGTTCGTGATGATGTTGGAGTTGATTTTCAGTGTCCAGTAGTCCTTCGCAATCTGGGTGGGGTAGTCCATGTGGCCAGTCACGTTCAGCGTGCAATTGTTCCACTTGTGGCAATTCATGGGCCGCGTGGTGTGCCTGTGCTGGCCCGCTGTGTTCGTGATTGATGATGCTTATGATGATGATGATGATGGTGATGATCATGGCTAAGAGAAGACAAGAGGAACCGGAATAGGAACAAGAGGCATATGACGAGATTGTTGGGCGAGCGGAAACGCCAAGTAGTTGGCAGGAGGATGCGGAGTAGCAGGGATGAGGGTGGAGAAGGGGCGGATGGAACACAGAGAAGCGAGGCGGGAGGAAGGGAGAAGGGCGGCACTACCTGGTCGTTTCTGCGGTGTGAATCGTCTCCCCCTCCCTCGTGCATGTCTCCGACCCTTGCCTTTAGCTCGGCGGCACGGCCCTAGACATGGGCGCTGCCACAGAGCCGTTACTGCCCCAGGTGAGGAAGCGATCTCCGAGATCTTTCCATTACCATCAACTGCTACGATTGGTCGACATCTTGACTCGTGTTTTTGTGTTTTTTGGGGGGGGGTCGAACAGCTTTTTGTCCATGCGTTCGAGCATCTTACGTTCAACGTAGGGTCCTCTCTGCGATCTGCTCCCTGCGCGCCCCTCCCCCCCGCTCCAGGAGCCGGGGGGCGGCGGCGCGTGCCCCAGGGCGGTCCGGAGGCAGCGTGTCTAGGCCTCGCACCCGCATCGGGGCCACAAGGAGTTCCCTACTATAGGATGTCGCTCTTGGTGGGCGCCCTTGAAAGGGCGCGCGCGCGCGCCTCGCTGGCACTCCCCCAGGGGACCCCCGCCCCCCCACCTTCTCTTCCCTCCCCCACCTCTCTCCTCCGCCTCCTCCTCCGCCTCTTCCTCTTCCGCCTCCTCCTCTTCCTCCTCCTCCTCCTCCTCCTCCTCCTCCTCCTCCTCCTCCTCCTCCTCCTCCTACTCCTCCTCCTCCACCTCCTCCTCCACCTAGAGGGTTCTCACGGGGGTCGAAGATTCCTCTCACCAGAGTCTCGTCAGGGGGGGGGGGCCGCGGGGAGGCGTCTCACCGGCCCCGCGGCGCAGCGCTCACGATGGTGTTGTGGCTCGATTTGGTCCAGGCATGCGACTCACTGTGGTGTTTGGGCTCGATTGTGGCGGCCCAGAATTTGCCGGCAGGGCCCACTGGTGCTCTCGAAATGCGACTCCCTATGGTGCTCTGGCACTTCCTGTGGTGTTTTGGTGTGTGTGTACCTAGTGGTCCCGAGCTGGAACCACGCCTTTTCACGTGTCCAGGCCACCCAAGGGGGGTATCGAACACGGTGGCCCCGAGTGGGAACCCCAGGTTTGTACGTGTCCAGGCCATCCAGGGGGGTATCTAACATGGTGGTCCCGAGCTGGGACCACGTGCTTTTACGTGTCCCTGTCACCCAGAAAAAGTATTCACGTGAGTTCCGAACACCCCAGAGCAGGACAGGCGTGAAAACACATGGTTCCCAACGCTCCAGAACGGGACACGCGTGAAAACATGTGGATTCTTAACGCTTCAGAGCGGGACATAAATGAAATAACGTATATTTCTACCGTCCCATAGCAGAACAGACGTGAAAAATACATTGGTTCCAAACGACCGAGAGCGGGACAAGCGTGAAAACACATGATTCCCAGCTCCCCAGAGCGGGACAAGCGTGAAAACAGATGGGTTCCTACCGCCTCAGAGCGGGACATGAGTGAAAAGAAGTGGGTTCCTTACGCTCCAGAGCGGAACACGCGTGAAAATTTGTAGGCTCGTAACGCCCGAGAGCGGGACAAGCGTGAAAACGCGCGGGACAAGCGTGAAAGCGCGTGGGTTCCTGACGCCCCAGAGCGGGACAAGCGTGAAAACGCATGGGTTCCTAACGCCCACGAGCGAAAACGTGAAATCCTTCGGGCTCAACACGCCCACTCGCTTCCCACGTCCGCCGACTGCAGTGGACACGTGTTGGTTCCCAACGCCCCAGCGCGCGAGCGTGCGCAACTCCTTTGTGACCCCCTACGCCAATCGCCGCTGTGGAAAGATGGGGTTCGTGCCCTGCGCCGCCTGCGGGCGAAGAAGTGGGCCCCAGCCCGCGCCGAGGAGCCGAGCATTGGCTGCCTCACACGCCGAGAAGGTCCGATCAGCGGTGGGTGCCGCGGGTCGCGGGTGCGATCAGCATTGGCTGTCTCACACGCCTGGCCGGGGCCTCTTCCAGCTGCTCCCACCCTGGTTTTTCCCACCTTCCCCTCCCTTTGTTCGAAGCCCGGGGACGCTTCCTACAATGCACCCGCGTGGTAGTCCCGGGCAGCCCCAGGCACCCCTGCGTCCCTGCCTGAGCGCCCGACAGCCTCGAACCCTTTTCGGCGATCGTTGCTGCGCGGGTCCACTGTAATAAATCCTCCATCGGAAACATTGCGCCCCGGGGAAAGGGGGGGGTCGCGCCTCAGGGAGGTCGCCTCCCCCTCCGGGAGCCTTCGACCGCATGCAAGTCCCCATTCGCTCCGTCCTCCTCCTCCTTCTCCTCCGCGTCCTCCTCCTCCTCCTCCTCCTCCTCCTCCTCCTCCTCCTCGTCATCATCAGCATCATCGTCATCACCAGCATCATCAACATCAGCATCATCATCATCATCCTCATCATCTTCACCGTCATCATCGTGATCATCATCGTGATCATCATCATCATCATCATCATCATCATCATCATCATCATCATCATCATCATCATCAGCAGCAGCATCAGCATCAGCAGCAGCATCAGCAGCAGCATCAGCATCGCCATCATCCGCCTCCTCCTCCCCTCCGCCTCCTCCTCCTCCACCCTCCTCTTCCCCCTCGCCCGGCGACGACGGCGGCGACGAGAAAGACGACGACAGCGACGACGACGACGACGACGACGACGACGACAGCGGCGACGAAGACGACGACCACCACCACCACGATGACGACGACGACGCCCACCACGACGACATCCGAGCGGAGCGCCGCGGCGCCATCCCGCTCTCCGCGATCCCGAAGAGGGCCAACCCGACCCCCACGCAGACCGCCGACACGAAGGCCGCGGGCGCGGGGCGCGAAGCCTGCGGCCGCTGCGGCGGCGCGGCGCCTGCGACGGCAGCGGCGCCGGCAGCTGGCGGCTGCGGCGGCGGCGACTGAAGCGCCTCCACGGCGCTTCTTGGCGGCGCGCACAAGGGGGTGGGGGGAGGGGGAGGGCTTCTTAGAAGGAGGCTGCTTCTTAGAAGGCGCCGGCCTTACATCTATAGAGAAGGCCCGCGCCTTCTAAGAAGCAGGGGTGCTTCTAAGAAGCCTTCCCCCCTCCCCCCACCCCCCTCTGCGCGTGGCTGAGCTTCTGGCGGCGGCGACGACGACGGCGGCAACGCATCGGAGGCGGCGGCGGTTTTTGCTACGTTTTCTGCCACGGTCACAGCGGAAGCACCGGCGGCGGCGGTCACGGCGGCAGCGGGAGCTGGCGGCGACAACGACGGAGTCTGCGCCGCGAGGCCCGGACTGTTGGCGGGAACACAACGCAGCCTGGTTCGTGGTCACGAAAACGCGGAACCAGGAGCGTTTTTCCTTCCCGCCCCGCCGCGGGCGCCGCGAAGCGCCGCAGGGCCCGCGGCGGGGCGGGCTGGATGAGAGGTGGCCAGCGGCGTTGGGAGAAGCGGGCGGGGGGCGCGCGCTCAGGCCTTCGCGAACTTCGAGTTATGTTTAAAAAAAAAAAAAAAAAAAAAAAAAAAAAAAACACCAGAAAACAAAAACGAAAAAACACTTCGAGTTATGGGTTTGTGGTTCGCTTCGACATTGTTTCCTCCATGCTGCGAGGGAAGGGTGAAGATACCCCCGCGTGCGACGCGCTGCGCCGAAGACGCGCTGCGGCCAGAGGCGAGGCCGGCGCGCTCTTCGCGCGCGTCGAGGTGCCAACTGTGATGGCGTCTTCCTTTTCGCAGCGTGACCGTGTGCACGCGACCGTGTCAATACGACCGTGCCAACGCCATGGCGCCAACGCCATCGCGCCAATGCAACAAAAGCCGATGCGAACGTGTCAATGAGACCTCTGTCAGTACGACTGTGTCAGTGCAACCGTGTCAATGCGACCGTGCCAGTGCGACCGCATCAGTACGACCGTGTTAATGCGACCGTGTCAATGCGACCGTGTCAATGCGACCGTGTCAAAGTGATCTTGTCAGTATGAGCGTGTCAGTGCGACCGTGTCAGTGCGACCGTGTCAATGCGACTACAGCCGGCCTTGATTGGGAAGGACACGCAAGAGGACACAAGACCCTTCCGAGGGCCACATTGCCACAGGAATGTAGGAGGCATGGGTCGCGAGACACAGGACACAAAGGTTCCCTTGGTTTGGCAGGGTCGACCTACTAATCCGGGCCGACTGTATCTCAATGCGACAGGGCCAATGCGTCCGTGTGTGTCCGTGTGAATGCGACCGTGTCAATGTGACCGTGTCAATGCGACCGTGTCAATGCGACCGTGTCAACGCCACAGCGTCAACGCCACCGTGTCAATGCGACCAAATCAACACGACCGTGTCGATGCGACCGCGTTTTTGCGACCGTGTCAACGCAACCTTGTCGATGAGACTGTGTTGATGCGCGGCCGGGAGTGGCTCCATTAGCGCGCATCCATCTGCCAGGCGACGCATCCGTCCGCTGCGCGCAGGCTGGTTTTTGAAGGAGAACGACTTGACGTCAGTGCGCGATGTGGCCTATGCAAACGCTGCGTCATTGCAGGGTCAAGCGACCACGGGAAAGCGCTCCCTCCTGGCCAGAGCAATGGCTGACGCGAAGGCTGTCAACCGCGGAAGAGCAACGCACGGCTGGTTCGGCCTGCGCTTCCACCGCGCCCTGGGACATGTAGACATACAGGCGAGGCTGCACACCGGTGCCCTGAAAGGCGGTCTGCGGCGGTTGACGCGCTCGACACCGAAGTAAAAAGGCTCCAATGTCGCAACATCAGGCGGCCTTTCGTCTGTACAGAATTTTAAAAAATCTTGCCCTGTTGGGCAGAATCTAGAGGCGCGAAAGAAGAGGCGGATGACGAGGGCCCGACCACATCGAGAGACCTTCGCGACCTCTCGCGCGCACTCCGCGTCGTCAATCTGGTCAAAGCAAAACCGCTGACCTTGACGCAACGGCATGCGGCATACGAGATGTGAGCGTCAAATTGCCAGGGCCGCGCCTGCAAAGGGGCGCGGCCTTTTCTTGCGCAGAGGCACGCCACTGCTGGCGTCTGCACCGAACAGATGACGTTGGCCGCGCCACCGCCAGAATGTCCTTTAGGCTTGCCCCTTCCCCAGTACACAAGGGGCTGTGCGGCGCGATTGCTTTTCGCGTGCCCCGCGGCAGGCGGCCGCGCAGGCACCCTGGGCCAAGCGGAACGGCTACCTGGCGCTCGCAGATGGTGAGACCTGCCAGCGCTCGGGGGCGGCCAGGGAAGAGGGGGGCGTCCAAGAGGGGGGGGAGGGCGCAAATGATGGCCAGCGGCATATGCGCGGCCCAAATGGGGGGGCAGGAACGCGGTGAAACAAGAGGAGGTGCCATGCAGTCTGGGGAGATAGCATGGCCTCCGCCACGATATCCACCCACCCCCCCTAGTCATCACCCCCCTCTCTGCCGCCCCCGAAGCGCAGTCGGACCGAGAAGTCCGGCGCCGCGAGCGACTCGCTCGACGTCGAGACAGCAGTCGCGACGGTGGAGCCGAGTCCGCTGCGGGTTGGCCGGGGCGATGCGCGGCAGGGGCGCCGAGGGGGGCGCCCCGCCTCCCGCGGAGGCAGGGCGGCGAGCCGAGGCCCCCGCAGGGGCACTGCGACCGGGGAGCGGCGACTGCAGGAGGAGGGAGCAGAGGAGGAGGAGGAGGAGGAGGAGGAGGAGGAGGAGGAGGAGGAGGAGGGGGAGGGGGAGGGGGAGGAGGAGGAGGAGGAGGGGGAGGAGGGGGAGGGGGAGGAGGGAGAGGAGGAGAGGAGGATGGAGGAGGAAGGAGGGGAGGAGAGGAGGGGAGGAGGAGGAGGGGGGAGCAGCCGAGGCGAGCAGGAGCAGAGGGCAGGCCAGCAGCAGGCGCCTGCCGTCGCGCCCCGACGCGGGCCCCGAGCACGCAACGAGACGACGACGACGACGGCGACGACGACGACGACGACGACGACGACGACGACGACGACGACGACGACGACGACGACGACCGACGCGACGGCGGCGACGACGACGACGACGACGGCGGACGTCGGGCGGCGGCGGCGGCGGCGGCGGCGGCGGCGGCGACGGGGTCCGCGACGACGGAGCCCAGGCGACGACGTCGCGGTCGTCGTCGTCGTCGTCTTCATCGCCACCGTCGTCTTCATCGCTACCGACCAGACCACCCCGACCCAACGCGAAGACCCACAGTTCGGGTGGGGGGTACGGGTTCCGATGCGTTTTTTTAAACGCTCCCCGACGCCCCCCCCCCTAACCTTAAGGCCCACATTTCGGGTGGGCGGGGGGCACGGGCTCCGATGTGTTTTTTGTTCAACGCTCCCCGACGCCCCCCCCTCTGGGAATGGAGGGTAAATTGGGGCCGTCGGGTTGGGTTGGGGTGGTGCGGTGGGTAGTGACTCCCAGCGAGCCGTCGGGTTGACCACCACGCCCGCCAGCATGACCGAGGGCAGCTTCGCCGCTGTAAACAGCATCGCCTCGCCCGGGAGGGGTGGGAACCTCCCCCTGTCCTTAAGTCGGGCATGTCCCTCTACAGGAGGAATGTTCAAAGATAGTCAAAATAGTCAGGGGGCGATGTTTCGATGATGCTTCGACTGGTTTTGAATAGTTGTTTTACCTGTTTTTGCATGCTTTGTCCAAAATCCGCCCGTAGGAGGACATGCCCGACCTGACCCTATCCTGCCCATCGCCGCGCCCTGGGGCCGGATTCTCGTCCCCAACACGTGCTTCACGCTCCCGAAGCCCAGCGAGGGCCCCCAGAGGCCCGACGCTGCCAGAATCCCGCCGCTCCAGTGTCTTGGAGCGTCGGATCTCTGGGCCCGCCCTGCCCCTCGCCGCGCCCTCCCCCCTTCCCGGGGGCGCGCAAACGTGGGTTGGCGATCCATGGATTTGGCGCGCCCGCCTCCCTCGGCGGCGGAGACTGGCGACTTCCCATGGAAACGAGAGCCGCCGCCAGTCCACGCCCCCTTGGTCCATGTCTGCGATCGCCCGAGAGAGGTCCCGAGCAAGTCCCAGAAGGGGGCCCCATAAATCCCACGAGGGCCCGTCACGGGCCCCTGAGGAGCCCCGAAAGCGCTCCAAGGCAGCCCCAAAGAATGACCCCAGACCGGACGGCATCGCCCGAGGACGGAGGAGGAGTGGGAAGGGCGCCTAGGGCAGGACCGATTGCGAAGCGCAGGTCCGATCGCCACGCGACGCGCAGAGGAGGAGGAGGAGGAGGAGGAGGAGAAGGAGGAGGAGGAGGAGGAGGAGAAGGAGGAGGAGGAGGAGGAGAAGGCGGAGGAGGAGAAGGAGGAGGAGGAGGAGGAGGAGAGGAGGAGAAGGAGAGGAGGAGGAGAAGGAAGGAGGAGAGGAGGAGGAAAGGCGGAGGAGGAGGAGGAGGAGGGCTTGTGCGCTTGCTTGCACGCGTGCTTGCTTGCTTGCTGAGTTGCGGATTCCAAGCATGCTTGATTCCTCCGGCTCCGACTCCTTGATTAGAGTCGTCCAATCTATTTGGAATCAACGCTGGCTGATATATCGATATGTATATATATATATATACAGGCACTAGGCCTGCGGAACGACCGAAACGATCAGAGGACGTGTCCTCAGGGCCTGGCCAAACGCTACGCCTGATAGTCCAACCAACCATCCCGGAATGAGTGATTTAGCGAGACTCCGCGTCCAGCTTCCCTCTTCAAAGTCTGGGAGGGGTTTACCCATGCCCTATACCACCTCCCCTGGACCTGGACCGGGGGGGGGGGCGCGACCGATTGGAGCGACCAAGAAGACATCGGCTAGAAGGCGCGAAATTCATTGATTGTACTTAGGTGTTGGGCTAAGTTTGGCCTCCTGGGGAAGGGGCTAATTTAGCACCCCCTCCTTCTTTGAACGATCTCCTCCAAGATGGCCCCAAGATGGCCCCCAAGACTCCCAAGAGTGCCCCTAGAGGCCCCGAAGAGGTCCCCAAGAGGCTCCCAAGAGACCCCCAAGAGGCCCCCAGAGGCTGCCTCGATGCACCCAAGACGCTTCAAGAGGCCCCCAAGACGCCCCAAGAGGACTCCAGCTTTCAAGAGACATCCGAAGAGACTCCGAAAAGCATCCAAGAGGCCTCTTGCCATTCTGCTTGCCCTCCTCCTTCTCCTCCTCCTCCTCCTCCTCCTCCTCCTCCTCCGCCTGTCCCTCCTCCTCCACCTCCCTGTTCCCCCTTCCCCGCCCCCCCTCCTCCTCTCCGATTCCTCCTCCATGCTCCCCCTCTTGGGATATCATGGCTTCCCAAGGCGGATATTCCGCCGCATGATCTCTTCCACATCCCTGATCAAGGCAACTCGCCTTTCAGCAAAGAGCGAAGGGGGGAAGTGAGAAGGAGAAGGCCTTCTCAGAAGGTTCGGAAGTTCTCTGGCCTTCTGAGAAGTTTTCTAAGCCTTCCCCGAAAACAAAAAAAAACTTCTCAGACGACGCGAGGGCTTCTGAGAAGTCCAGCCGCTTCTCCTTCTCATTTCCCCCCTCGCTCGCCGCCGAGCATTGGCATCGTTTCTGGAAGGGCTCATGGGGTTATGCGAAGCGTCTGGAATTCAGCACCGCTTACGATCTTGCAGCTTGAAACTTCCAACACGGATGGAGGGTGCGAAGTTTTCGAAATGGGGGCCTGGTTTTGGCGTCGCAATCACTCGTCTTAGAACAAACAACAACTACATGGAGTGAGGGGCCCAAAAAATGCACCGGCGAGCACGCAAGCAGGTGCCAACGACGACAGAAGAGGAGCCGGCAGAATGAGCGAAGCGATCCGCCGCCCCACCAGGCACGGCGTGTGAGAACCCCGCCGCATGGTCTGCAAGGACTCCTTGCGCCCAATCCTCTGACCTGCACTCCTCGTACCCATGCCCTTCCCTTCCTGAGAGCCTGGGAGCCCCTCCTGTGGGTCCTTCCCGCGGCCTGCTCGTTCCGCTGGCCCAGGGGCCCCAGCTGCGCAGAGGGTGCACGCTGGCCGCCATTGTGCCCTCAACTCATGCAAGCCTTCGCGCATGGGAGACTACCAGACGCCTCTGGGCGCCGTTTGGGAACTCTCTGGAAGCCCTCCTTGGCAGTCGTTGGAGCCTCTTGAGGCCTCCTTAGGAGGGTCATTCAGCCCATGCTGTGGGCCCTCCAGGGCCGTCTCGAACTTCTCCGAAGCCCTAGTCGAGTGATGTTCAGCCGAAAACCTTAAGAGGCTGAAAAATGTTTCGGCCTTCCCTTTCCATCTCTTGGAGCTCTGAGCCTCTTCTGACACTCTCGGGGCCTCACTGGCCGCGTCAGAATATCTTCCAGCCGTCGTCGGCCGTTCTCGAGGCCTCTCAGCTACTCTGACCGCCTCTTTGGCGCCCTCTTGGCCCGCCTTGGGCGCGCCCGTGGGGTCTCCTGGTGGGCCTCCTGAGGACCCAAAACATACTCGTGCTGCTCCCTTGGACCTCTCCGTATCCCTCTTCAGTTTCGTTCCCGGTTCTCTATCCTTTCTGACGCCTTTTTGGGCTCTCCGGGAGCTCCCTCGAGGCACTCTCGGGGCGGATCTCGAGCCCCCCCTTCCAGGCTCTCTGGGCAGACGGCGTTCCCCCGCCAGACTGCTACCTGCCATCTCCCTTCCTACAGTGCTCCCTCTCGGACCGCGCTTGCGCCGATCCCCTCTCGGACCGACTACCTACCCGACCACCCAAACCAACCCGAAGACCCGAATTTCGGGTTGGGGGGGTACGGCTTCCATATGTATCGATGTTCCCCGACCCCCCCCCACTGGAAATGGAGGTCAATTTGAGGCCTTCGGGTTGGGTTGGGGTGGTTTGGTGGGTGGTGACTGACGCCATCCGCTCTGGAAGTTGCCCTCCTCGTCCTCCAACTCGCCTCCCGCACTCTGCACGTCCCCAAGGCGGCGCGCCACTCCTGGGGCCCACGTGGCCACGAGGGGTCGGGGAGGGCCGTCCTGGAGCCCTCTCGGACCCCTCTTTGGCCGTGTGGAGGAGGAGGGGGAGGAGGAGGAGGAGGAGGAGGAGGAGGAGGAGGAGGAGGAGGAGGAGGAGGGGGAGGAGGGGGAGGAGGAGGCGGGGGAGGAGGAGGAGGAGGAGGAGGAGGAGGAGGAGGAGGAGGAGGTGGAGGAGGAGGAGGAGGAGGAGGAGGAGCTCTGCTGGCGCCCTCTTGGGCCATCTTGGGGGCGCGCCCGCGGGGTCTCCCGGGGCTCCATCCGAGGCCCCAGAGCTCATCGGTGCCCGCTCCTGGCTGTGTGTCCGTATCCCTCTGCGGCTGCGGCAGTACAGTATGCGGACGAGGTGACCCTCGAACACGATGTGCGTGTGTGCGAAGTGCGCTACGAAGCTTTTTGCGTGCGACCCTCTCGGGCCGCTGTGCGCGTTCCTGGGGGCCACTGAGCGCCGTTGTCGACTCCCCGTTCCCACGAATTTCCCGTTCCAACAAAGTGGGGCGGCGGCGTCTGCCGCCTCAGGGACGCTCCATTGCACAAAACGCACCCACAAGCAAAGGCAAGAGCCGTACCGACCACCTTTCCCACCATGTGGCATGGTAACGATGAACAGCGATATCATCATTGTCGTCATCGTCCGCATCATCATCACCGCCACCATGACAGTAATAATGATAATGGCAACGGCAATAATCAAACGAATCATGGCAATAAAACAATAATAGTAGCCAACCCCTGATAGTGAATATACGGACAACACGGTTAATAATATGGACAGCATCAATAATGCTAATAGAAATAATGATGTTGATAATTATACTAATGATACGAATAATAACAATAATAATAGTAATCAGAATGCCAATAGTAATAATGATAAGAACACTCATACTAACTAAACATGATGATAGTAATAATACTAATAATCAAAATAATCATACTAAGAAGAAGAAGAGGAAGCATCAGCAGCAGCAGCAGCAGCATCGTCATCATCATCAACATCCTCATTATCATCATCATCAACAACATCAGCAGCAGCATCATCAACATACCCTTGAATTGCCAACATGACCACCATCGTCGCCATCACCATTACCTTCATCAGCAATAACAACAACGTCATCATCAGCAGCACCAGCATCATCACCATCAACAACATCCTCATCACCATCGCCGTCAGCATCAACGTCCTCCTCTGTCTCCTCTCATCATTACCAACATCACCACAATCATCAAAATCATCGTCGTCATCATCATCGTAGTTGCCATCGTCATCCTCGTCATCACCATCGACATAGTCACTGTCGTCGCGGCATCGATGTGGCCATAGTCATACACATCGTCGTCACCATCGTCAACGCCACCATCGTCGTCGTCATCGACATTACCATCACCACTTCCATAATCGTCACCATCGTCGTCGTGTTCCTCCGTCTCCTGAGACAGCCGAACGGTCAGAACAAAGCATACTCTTCGAACTTCGCCGAAACCACGAGGAAGAAGTTCCGTCTTCTCACGTCCTGCTGCCCCTGAGTTTCCGACGGCGACGACGAAGATGGCGGCGGCAGCGGCGACGGCGATGACGACCGCGCCACCCGGCGACCGACCGACGGCGACGGCGACGACGACACCGACCACCGACGACCGACAGCGCGGCATGATGGGCCTGTTCTCCACCACCACCACCACCACCAGAAGTTGGAGGGGGAGGGGGTCCTCCTCCTCCTCCTGCTCCTCCTCCTCCTCCTCCTCCTCCTCCTCCTCCTCCTCCTCCTCCTCCTCCTCCTCCTCCTCCTCCTTCCCCCTCCAACTCCTGGTGGCGGCGGTGGACATCAGGCCCAGCGCGGCAGGGTCGCGCGCGGGCCGTCGTGTAGTTCACGCGGCACATGGCCGCCAGCCCGGTGCCGTGGTGCACGGTCATGGCGACGCCGCACAGCGCGTAGCGCTGCAGCTCGCGCCTCTCTCCGCGGCGCCGCCGAGGCGCCGCTGACCCCGCCGGCGCTGCCGCCGCCGCCGGCGCTGGCGGCGACCCCGGGCCTCCAAGAGCCCAGAGATCCGACGTCGTGATCTTTTCAACCCAGAGATCCGGCGCATTGGAAAAAGGATCAAGACGGAGGTGTGTCGCAGTGTTCGACTTCTGGGGGCCCTCGCCAGGCCCCAGGACCGTCAAGAAACGGCTCCGGATGAAGAACTGGGGGATGGGTCGAGACTTCGGGGGGCCGCGCATCGAAAAAAGCCTCGACCCATTCCCCAGGACCGGCTTCTCATCCTGATCCAGCTTTTGACGGTCCCGAGGCCCGGCGCGGGCCCCTATAGGGGTCAAGAGCTGCGACACGCCTCCGTCCTGACTTTGCCAATACGTTGGAGGAGGAGGAGGAGGAGGAGGAGGAGGAGGCTCTCTGGGCATCCGATTTTCTCCCAACCAGACGCGCTGTCCTTCGACTTCGGGCCTCTCACGGGCGGCGTCGGCGCCGCCGTCGCTGGCCGCTGGCGGCCGGAGCCGGAGCCGTCGGTGTCTGCATCGCCGCCGCCGTCGCCGTCGGCACTGCCGCCGCCGCTGCCGCCAGCGTCGCCGTCGACGTCGACGCCGCGTCGTCGCCACCGCGGCGGCGTCGTCGAGGAGGGCCACTGCTCCTCGGGAGTGCTCGCAACCCGCGCAGGGAGGAGTTCCAGAGGGAGCGGCTCTGCGGGCGAGGGCTCGGCCGACGACAGGCTGCGGGGGATCGAGACACTGAAGGGGCCCTGGGACACACAAATCACTGCACACAACTCCCAGGATTCCCCATTTCCCATATTTTCTGGGTTTTCGTCCTCCCCCCCATCCCATAGTTTCCCATATTTTCGTGGGGGTCGACAATTAATTGTGTCTGTGTTTTTGTTCCCCTCCTGAGACACAGCCAGGACAGGGACAGAACAGGGATCAATCGGGGAACTCTGAGATCTGGCGGCTCTTCAGGATGCGCTGGGCGCCGCGACCTTCGCAGAGCGCTATGGAACGCTCCGAGCGCGTTCTGGAACGCTCCCGAGCGATCTTTCCCTGTCCTAGCCCCGCCCGAGGGATCGAAGGTCAAGATCCAGGAGGGTCCCCAGGCTCGAGGGTCGAGATTCGAGGGTCGAGGGTCGGATATCGAGGATCGAAGGTCAAATGGACAGATCCAGTAAGAGGATTGAGGATACGGACTGCTGGCCGCTTTAGGCATTTTGTTTCCGCTTCTCCTCCTCCTCCTCCTCCTCCTCCTCCTCCTCCTCCTCCTCCTCCTCCTCCTCCTCCTCCTCCTCCTATTCTCCTCCTCCTCCTCCTCCTCTTCCTCCTCCTCCTCTCCTCCTCCTTCCTCCTCCTCCCTCCGCCTCCTCCTCCTGTACTTATCCTCCTGCCTACTTCCTCCCCTCCTCCTCCTCCTCCTCCTCCTACCTCCTCCTCCATCCCCTCCTCCTGCTCTCCTCCTCCTCCCTCCTCCTCTCCCCATCCTCCTCCTCCTCCCTCCCGCCTCCTCCTCCTCCTCCTCCTCCTCCTCCTCCTCCTCCTCCTCCTCCTCCCCTCCTGGCCCCCCAGCCCTCCCCCTCCCCTCCCTCCTCCTGGCGCCGCGCCTGCTGGTGGCCCCCAGCAGCCTGCGCGCCGCGCGCTGCTCCCGGCGCAGCGCCCACAGCGCCGCCATGAGCGACATGGTCGCCGCCTCGACGGCGCCGTAGGCGCTGGGGAAAGCCGCCCCCCCGCCGGAGCGGCGGGGGTGTCGAAGGCAAACCCCGCCCCTCACCCTCAGACCCGGGCGTGGCAAGGTTGCTCACGGCGGGCGATTTCGCAGAGCTTCTGGGCCCGGGAGGCGGATGAGGAGGAGGAGGAGGAGGAGAAGGAGGAGGAGGAGACGGAGGTGGAGGTGGAGGAGGAGGAGGAGGAGGATGAGGAGGAGGACGACGACGACGACGAGGAAGAGGAGGAGGAGGAGGAGGAGGAAACAGAGGAGGAAGAGGAGGAGGAGGAGGAGGCGGAGGAGGAGGAGTCAGGCCTTGCAGGATCCTGCAGGACCCTGCAGGATCTTGCACCCAGACCCGGGTCAGTGCAGCCCAGGCTCTGCAAGATCCCGCAAGAGCCGTGGGCCCCCGTTTCTTGCCCAGACCGAGACCCTCTCACATCGATCCCGCTCGACAAAGGACGCAGCAGGACTCGGTCTAGGGCTCTGGGCGTGATTTGCGCTCGCGATGTTGCAGTCTGTGCTGCAGCGTCAGAGCTGGCGGTCGTCGTCGTCGTCGTCGTCCTACCCGTTCCTTCCCCGGGCCCCAAGGCCTCCAAGCAACGGCCCCGGATGAAAGCTCGGCGCGGGGGTTAGGTCGGGCATGGGACGAAAAAGAAGAAACAATCGACAGATCATCAAAAACAGTCGAAGAGAATACGACAAAAATCGCCCCCATACCATGTGATTTAACGATTTTTGAATACTCCTCCTGTAGAGCGACAGGACGCTGGGGACAGACCTCCCAGGGCCCACGCCGCGAGGATATCGCGACGATCCTCCTCGGGCCTCGGGCTGCTGCTGGGCACGGAGGTGTCTTCTCGACGCTGCTGCGCCCCCCCCCCCCCAGGCGGCCCGCGCCGCCCAGGGAAGGGCGGAGCGTTGCCCGTCCGACTCTCGCTGGAGATGCTGGGGGAGATGGGACTACGGGGCCCAAACATATACTGTGGGCACGCGTTTTTTACAAAACCAATAGAAGCGACACGAATGCACACAACAAACAAACAATATATGTATATATATATATATATATACATATACATATACATATAACTATACACAAACATAAACACATACGTATACATACACATATACACATATATTCTAAACGGTTCGCGTATCCCCACCAGCCCGTCCAGAAATGAGCCCCAGGGGAGTGGAGGTGATGAGGGAAGCGGGGGAGCTTGCAGAAAAACAAAGGGCGGGGTAAGCCGCCATATACCCCAAGAGGGGCAGGATGTAGGAGTAGTCGTCGTCGTCGGAGGAGGAAGAGGAGGAGCAGGAGGAGGAGCAGGAGGAGGAGGGGGAGGAGGAGGAGGAGGAGGAGGAGGAGGAGGAAGAGGAGGAGGAAGATGAGGAGGAGGAGATGGAGAGGGCGAGGACGTGGAGGACGAGAAGGAGGAGAAGGAGAACGAGGAGGAGTAGGAGGAGGAGGAGGAAAGGGAGGGGAGGAGGGAGGAGGAAGAAAAAGAGGAGGAGGAGGAGGACAATGGCGAGCTTGGGGGCCTCTTGGGCCGTCTTTGGGGCCTCTTGGCGGTCCTGCGGGCCTCTTGCATATCTCGAGGAGCCTCTTGGGGCCTCTAGGGGGTCTCTTGGGAGCCTCTTGGAGGTCTCTTGGGCGCTTCTTGGGGCATCTTGGGGCCCTCTTGGGGCGCTCTTGGGGCGCTCTTGGGAGCCTTCGGGGCGTTCTTGGGGCCATGTTGGAGGAGATATATCAAAGAAGGGGGGGTGCGAATTAGCGTTGCCCCTCTAGAGCGCCTCTTGGGCCCCTAAAGAGGCCAAAATCCTTCCAAAACTATGTTTTTTTGCTCTCCCGCCTTTTCGCTCTTGGAGCCGTCTTGGACGCCCAACGACCCGCGGACCCCCCCGTCCAGATCCGGGGGAGCGGGGAGGGGGAGGGGTAAACCCCTCCCCGAAAGGGGAGAAGGGGGTTGGAAGAGGAAACTCTCTAGACCACCAACGCCCAGAGGGCTGGTGGGATACACAAAAAAGTGTGGGGGCCGTTAGGACACGAGTAGACCACGAGCTCGCGGCCACGCTCGAGGGCGCTCGGAGCCCGCGCGACGCCGCTCGAGGGCGCTCGGAGCCCGCGAAGCACCACCACCGCCTCCCTCACTCCCTCCTCTCCCAGGCAAGAGGAAGGGAAGGAAAGGAAGAAGAGGGTAGAGGAGGGAGGATGAATCGGCGCGGTGGTGGTGCAGATCCTTGGCACCCGCATGGATGGCAGTAGAACCACCCTCGCAACAAGCACCCCGACAATTGAAGCTGTTTCTTAAAAGCACCTACGGAAGGCACAGAGAACAGGGCGGAGCTGCCCAGCAAACGCCCGGGACTGTTGAGCTCAGTGTGAACGCCAACGGCTAGGGGCAGGGGTGGTTTTTCCTCCCTTGAAGGAGGGGCGGGGACAAAGAATATCATGAAGGGGGAGGACGAGGCGGAATTCATGGCGGGTCGACGGCGGCGGCTGCTGCGGCTACTGGCACCACCGCCCTCTCCCGCCCGCACCCCCAGCCGTCACGTCCCAAGCCCCGTCCGTCCCCGGCGGCAACGCCACGCTTGCTCCTCGGCCGATCCGAAGTGGGTTCCGGAGCACGGCGGCCGAGGTCTCGGCCACGGCGACGGCCGTTGGGCGGCCATGATGTTTTGGTCAACGGCGACTTACAGGGGAGGCCCGACCACAAGGAGCCTTTCACAAGAAACCCATCCCTGAGACCCCAGGACGTCCGTTGATCTTGGGTGTGGGAAAATCACGCTTTCCGTGGCAAAACTACCGAAGCCCAAGACACCCAGGGCACCCTGGAGGCAAGCAGGGCGTTTCTTGGCATGGGCCCCCACTGCACTGGCTTGGGAAGATCTGAGGCTGAGGCGCCATCTCCTTCCCTCCGCGCTGTGGTCAGGCTCGTCCACGAGAGACAATAAGACCCGTAGGCGGCCACGCGGTAGCCCCTTCCAAGGTGGTTGCGGTGATCCCAATACCTTGCCGCTCCGGGCGCCCGCGTCGCAAAGGGAAGGGAAGTTGGCTGATCACGCACAGCGGCATGCCAGCGAAGCACAAAGAGAGAACTCAAGCTCCTCCATGGTGAACTCGTCTGGAGGCTCTGCCTTTGCCACAGGGCCGGAGCCAAACGCTGCTTTTCGTGGCGTTTTCGTTTGGTGTTTCGTTTTGTTCTACCTGTTTTCCTGTACCTCCCTGCCAAAACCAAAACCAAAACACCGCCGAAGGCCAGGCAAAACAGCGCTTGGGTCCAGCCGCGACGTCCGCGGCTGCCGCCTTCTTGGCAACGCGCTTGCGGGCGCTCTGGCCGGCGCCGGCGGCCTCTACCTCGTCTCCCCTGGCGGCGCTTCTCCCCGCCACCAGTGGGGGCCCATGCCAAGAAACACCCTGCTTGCCTCCATGGTGCCCTGGGCTTCTTGGGTTTCGATGGCTCGGCTGTGGAAAGGGTGACGTGCTGCACCAACAAATAATGGACGCCCTGGGGTATCTTTTTGCTTTCGTGTGGAAGGTTTCTTGTGGTCGGGCCTCTACTGCAAGGCGCTACCCTGGCCTTCAGCAGGCAGCTCAGCCAGCTTCCCATCAGCTGCAGCCCCTCCGGCGGCTGCTTCTGAGTGCAGGCCCGGCCGCTTCGCTCTAGGCTCGCGCGTAGCCAATTTGGCAGGCCCGTGGCCCGGACCTCGCCTTCGGCGACAGCGTTTCCGCGTCCGCCCGCGAACAAAAAATCTAAGGCCTCATCGAAGAGTGTCGGGGTGCAGGCACGCGTCGACGTTGGCCGTGCCACCGTCGGCCTGGCAGTGGGCATCCACAGGGCCGGCCGCACCGCGAGGGGCTGGCGGCCCGCGGAACACCACGTCCTCGCCACCGTCGGCGATGCGGCCATCCGCAAGTTGGGTGGAGAAGAAGACGAGGAATCAGAAGGAGATGAGGAAGAAGACGAGGAAGAATAAGACGAGGAAGAAGAAGAAGAAGAAGACGAGGAAGAAGAAGAAGAGGAAGAGGAAGATGATGAAGGAGGGCGCGGAGCCTGCTGGCAAGGCACTGGCCCTGGCTGCAATCGGACGGGCGGCCCCCGCACCGACGCACTCCGGGACCTGCGTGTGCTGCCGAGGACCTGCTCGAATCCGACCTCGCCGAAGACACGCCAGGGGCTCGGCGCGTGGCCGCGACGTCGACAGCTGCCGGAGGTGCACCCGTCAATCGCGGCTGCCCGCGCGCATCTCTGGGTCACGTCAGCTCCACCAGCGACTGCCTCCCTGAGGATAGCGCTGCCCACCCCGGAGGCGTCAGAGCCACCCACGATGGAAGCGGTGGTACAGGGCAGTTTTTTGAACATGGGAGTTTGAAGAATATAGGATGTTTAATACATGGTTAATGTATGAGTAAATATATGTATGAACTCGTCGTTGTTCTTAATACTAAATCCCTGCATGTTTAATACATGATCCGCACGCGGAGCATGTATTAAAAACGGCACTGTGTGCTGAAGCCGTCGCCGTGCTGGCGGAGGGCACGAGACGGTTACTTCCGTTGCCGATTTTGACGCCTGGGTGCAAGACGGGCGCGTCCTGCCGAACGCAGGCGCGTATCTCGCTCGGATCGTGTTCGAACTGATTGATATCGCTGGAGTGGTCCTTGCTGGATTGCTTGTTGGTGCTATGAGGACTACTGGTTACTAAGAAACTGTCCATCCTGATTATGATCACGGCTCCATTCATACGCATGCTGGCCCTGGTCATGGGCATATTTCTGGTCCAACTCGCACTTGGCGTAGCGCTATTCGCAGCGGTTCCGATGTCTGTTACGCTGTTGCGGGCTCCTGTTGTCGTGCAAGCCGTGGGAATTCGTGGTGATGGTTAGGTGATGGTTAGAATGTCGTCAAGGAGTACTAGTTAGCCTCGAAAAATATCCAACCCGTCGCAGGGCCTTGGCCCGGGTTTTGCAGCCTTGTTACTGGTGCTCAACCTCGGAGCCGCTGTAGCCGAAGGCTCTGGTGCAGCTGCCATCCCCGCGTGTGGGTCTTGCACTCGCAGGTCCCACCCCTCTGGCCAATGCCCGAGGCTAGCCAACGCCGCGCATGGCCATCCGCCCCTGCTTAGCCCCCCCCCCAGCCCTTTCCGAAAAGGCTCGGCGGGAGGAACCCACCAGTCCCCGCCGCTGCCTGGGTCCTTCTCCTCCTCCTCCTCCTCCTCCTCCTCCTCCTCCTCCTCCTCCTCCTCCTTCTCCGCCTCCTCCTCCGCCGACGCCGCCCCCGCCCCTTCCCCCATTATCCCTCCTCCATCTCTCCTCCTCCCCCTCCCTCCTCCTCCTCGCTCCCCTCCTCCTCCTCCTCCTCCTCCTGCTCCTCCTCCTTTTCCTCTCCTCCTCCTCCTCCTCCTCCTCCTCCTCCTCCTCCTCCTCCTCCTCCTCCTCCTCCTCCTCCTCCTCCTCCAGGGGCGAGGGTGGGGGACGAGGAGGGTCACAGGAAGGCGGGGGCCTCCTGGTCCTCGGCGGCGAAGGGGGGGCGGGGCGCGAGAGAAGCGGTGGGCAAGGGGAATGGGGGGGCGGAGGCAGGACGAGAGAGAGGAGGCCTCC